GTCGCTTGTACAAGTTTTGTGCGTGTATGTTGTGGTCTACAGCTCCTCAATGGGCAGGGGTAACACTCCCTGTGAGTACCCGTAATCCCAGAGCCTAGATTTTTCGATGACATTGCTGTCGCTTGTCTTAGTCTGGGTACAACAGTTACGTGCCCATGGAACTCGCACGACCGTGGTATAGTTCGTCTGGAGCTCCAGTGCTGTAATCAATGTCTGAGTGTGGGGTCGTGTGGCGTAGCGGCAGAGTGCTCGACTCGAAACCTAGAGGTTCCGGGTTCGAGTCCTGACATGCCACCGATCTTGTGTCCTTGGAAAAGGCACGTTACACGACTTTCCTCACTTCGCTCAGGTGAAAATGAGTATTGTATTGTCCCCTATTGTCCCCTATGTTGCATTAATATAAGTTGAAAAAAAACTTGAGTGTGCCGTCGACACGTCTTGTGACTACATGTTGAAAAGTTTGCGGCTGTCGGACGACTTTCGGTGACATTGTGGTAATCTTTAATGCACGGCAGATTGACAAAGTCACCCTGTCTTCATCCCGCCTCCGCAGCCTCAGGCACGGCTCTACCACTGCGGGGATAGTCGCTCTCATTACCTCGTCTGTCAGTATAATGAGAGGGTTTAGTTTGGCGAGACAGAAACATGTCTACATCAGACAACAGGATACCTCTCACTCATGTGATGATGTAGGCTATTGTAGATAGCGCACACTTCATACACTTCTACAGCTTTGGGAACAAAGAGTTAAATATGATTAGTTTTAGCCTCCGTAGCAGGCTTATAGAGTTGGTGATCTTCGGCTGTTTTCTGATTAGCCCAGTTCAAAAAACGGGGGTAATTCAACCAGGCCGGCCATGTAGTCTATATGCAATCAGAACATAGCACATAAATGCTTCCAAAGACCCTCACAACCCCCAGTTTTTGGCATGCTATAGAGGCTAGGTGAGGTTTCCGTATGTGTCAAGCTATTCCTACAGATAAGTACTACGTGTTGCTGTGTGAATACTTGGGGCTTTACAATGTTTTTTTTTCTTGAATGTTTGTGTGCCAAATAATGTTCATCACATTTGGAACATTTTACATGCCTGACGATGAATTTAAGTAAAAATAAATTAGTAAATCACTGCACAGCCATCGCAGTCATCCTACCAAACACGGTCTAAAACATCTTCATATTAGTATTATTACTGTTTCGGATATTCCTTGTTGCTTGTCAGAACGTCGAAAAATGAGTTTCGGCCGTATTCATAAGGCTTAGCTTCAAATGCATGACTCCCATTTTCCCTCAGCCTTGAAAACAAATTGATTTTCAGCCCTTAAAGGGATCCTGCTGCCTTTTCAGTTGCGTTGAGTGGCAACATATTGAGCGGTTTGAAGCGATTTGCAATTTAGATGTGTTTGCATCGCCCAAAGGAGCGAAGTCTGTCACAGACCGGTGTTATGGCCGGGGACAGAGATGGATGGAGTGTGCAAAATCAGCTGCAGACGTTGCGTAAGAAAAGTAATCCGTCACAACAAACTAGATTGAGCTTATCACGAAGTAATGGAGACGTAGGAGTCCATTGAGCGCCAACGGGATGAAACTTAATACTGAAGAACTTTGGTCAGTAATACGGTACTTAATGCGGGAGTCCCACATGTACACAGCAGGAGAATAACGGGTCCAACGGGTCTGCGAGTTCTGAAGAACATATTCGGCAGCAACATGGCCAGTATGCGGTGGGGTGGCGTAGCGGTAGAGTGCTCACCTCGGAACCGAAAGGTCCCGGGTTCGAGTCCTGACATGCCACCGATCTTGTGCCCTTGGGAAAGGCACTTAACACGACTTTCCTCACTTCGTTCAGGTGAAAAATGGATATATAGTATTGTCCCGTGTTGGTGGCGGCATTAATATAAGTTGAAAAATCTTGAGTGTGCCGTCACCACGTCTTGTGATTACATGTTGGAATATAAAAAAAAGTATGCCGTGTCCTCTTCATCATTGCTGAGGGATCGGCTAACGTTCGCTTTCAGGTTACTGTTCCCCGTACAGTGTAACAAGGGAGATGTTCAGATAAAAATACGCTGGCTTTGGACTCGTTTCGTGTCCAGATCCATCCCCGTCTAGTTCTATGCCTGAATGGGTTAGGGTTAGGCTCAGGCACAGTTCTGGATAGTCTGCGCGTATCTAGGAAGGTGGATTCACCACAGGCACGGTTCTGGATAGTTTCCGGGAATCCAAGACCGTAGGTTTACCCCAGGCATGGTTCTGGATACTTTCTGGATATCCAAGAACGTAGATTTGCCCCAGGCATGGTTCTGGATACTTTCTGGAAATCCAAGAACGTAGATTTACCCCAGGCATGGTTCTGGATACTTTCTGGATATCCAAGAACGTAGATTTGCCCCAGGCATGGTTCTGGATACTTTCTGGATATCCAAGAACGTAGATTTGCCCCAGGCATGGTTCTGGATACAGCACGATGAAACAACTTTCTAGCGACTCTGAAAAGTCGGCGACCTCCTGATGACAGCAATTTGGAATTTGTCAGTGTGACGCCGGCTTATAAAGACGTTCATTTGACTGGTGGCATTCAGACACTAACGCAATTACGGGCATACATTTATCTAAGTCATTGTACTCAGCCACTAATGCGATTATTATTGCAGCCGACGTCTGTGTCTCCTGAGAAAGCTGTTAGAAGATTTAATGAACAAAACTTCGTGTCTGTCTTTGATTATGCCGTAGGCGGTGGGGCACGACATGTTCTATATCTGTCCCTTAATTGTCGCCTAGGAGTCAGATCTTGATAGAGACATTAACCTGTGGCGACATGACATCTAACTCGACATTAGTCACAGCAGGAGTAATGATACAGAGAGACAGCGGCGTTACATCATTGTCTGAGCTCAATCACTCACTCACTCAGCTCTGTATGCACCTCCAGCGGGCATAGCGCCTTTGCATATGGTCCTCCAGGTCTGCCTGTCTCTGGCTGCCACCCAGGAGGTGATGTCAAAAGTCCTGCAAAAGTCCTGCAGCCTGAAGTCGGTGAACAAAAAAACTTAACTGTCTCTACAGTTCCTTAATGTAACCCAAAACATGTACTAAGTGGTTTGTATGAGCCTTTTTAGGTGAAAATTGAAGTTTAAAAAAACATACACGACAAAGGTTCAACTATACCAGCTCTAGCCTCCACCAGGCCTTTCTACGGGAATACGGATCGTAGAATTCGGCCAAAAAAGAGTAAAATTGACCAGGGAAGTCCGGCCGCGGGGAGGTAGTTTCTTTCTGGCCAGTCAAACCTACAAGGCGGCCAAACTCCTCCCCTGGCAAATATTCTTCTATATATAGCCAGCGTAGTTAGTCTGGTAGAGACTATACCAGCTCCTGCATTTTGATTGATTGGGACGGCTGCCATCTTACATCCCGCACCTGTCTGTACATGTAACTGTATAGCCGGTATAACCGTCCTTTGGCATAACACACCAGCTTGTGTATTTTGCTTGATTGGGACGGCTGCCATCCTGCATCCCGCACCTGTCTGTACATGTAACTGTAACTGTATAGCAGGTACATGTTGTATAACCGTCCTTTGGCATAACACACCAGCTTGTGTATATTGCTTGATTGGGACGGCTGCCACCCTCCATCCCGTACCTGTCTGTACATGTAACTGTATAGCAGGTACATGTTGTATAACCGTCCTTTGGCATAACACACCAGCTTGTGCATTTTGCTTGATTGGGACGGTTGCCATCCTCCATCCCGCACCTGTCTGTACATGTAACTGTAACTATATAGCAGGTACATGTTGTATAACCGTCCTTTGGCATAACACACCAGCTTGTGTATTTTGCTTGATTGGGACGGATGCCATCCTCCATCCCGTACCTGTCTGTACATGTAACTGTATAGCAGGTATAACCGCCCTTTGGCATAACACACCAGCTTGTGTATTTTGCTTGATTGGGAAGGCTGCCATCTTCCATCCCGTACCTGTCTGTACATGTAACTCTATAGCAGGTATAACCGCCCTTTGGCACAACACACCAGCTTCTGTAATTTGCTTGATTGGGACGGCTACCATCCTACATCCCGTACCTGTCTGTACATGTAACTGTATAGCAGGTATAACCGCCCTTTGGCATAACACACCAGCTTGTGTATCTTGCTTGATTGGGACGGCTGCCATCCTCCATCCCGCACCGCTCATTAACGCGCTAATGTCATCTCCTGCAGCAGCTGCGCCTGGCCTTTTCCTTAATGTCAACCCTAACAATTCACTAGGACTGATGGATTCGAACGACTTATTACGCCTAACCCTTAAATATCCAAATCTAAACATTGTTTAAAGCTATCTAATGACAGTGCCCCTACTGTACTTGGTGACAGCGAGTTCCACTCTGCAATAGCGCTAGGAAAGAATGAATTCATGAACACCTCAATCCTTGGTTGATAACTCTGGTACTTGAAGGCATGGTTATTTCTTGTTCTCTTCTGGGCTGGTATCAGGTACTTAGTAGTTGGTACGGCCACCAGTTTATTAGTCATTTTGTACATACAGTCTTCCAGTGACGCCCACTGTAGGTTTCTGCTATCGCGCTAATGTCATCTCCTGCAGCAGCTGCGCTTGGCCTTTTCCTTAATGTCAACCCTGACAGTTCAACAGGGCTGATGGATTCCAGGAACAAGCAAACTGTTTGAGGGGGAAGTTTGTAGGATGAGACTTGATGACATGTTTGCTATTAGTTTTCATCCGTCTGATGATGGATTGGCTTGTAGTCGTTTCGTTTTATATATCTAGAAATAGAATGGCTGTGAATAAAACGCTTGTGAAAAAATAGCTTCTTTACACAGTGACTTACCAACCTGATGAAACTTTTCACGGACGTTTTATTGCTGTTATCGAAAAGTTGCTGCCTACCCCCTAACCTATGCTGCCTACCCCTAACCTAAGATGGTTGCTAGCTATGTATAGTTTCCTTTTACTACGTCAATTTCTCTACCGTCACAGGTACAAGACGTACTACATCTTCGTGCTGGTGTGCGAGTTTATCCTGCCCGTGCTGATCATGTCCTACTGCTACATCCGCATCGCCTGTAAGATCTGGAACCGCAGCGTACCCGGACACCACACACAGTCTCAGGAGGAAGCTATCATCAGGTAACTAACACAGTAAACACACAGTAACACACACACACACACACACACACACACACACACACACACACACACACACACACACACACAGAGTCCTACTGCTACATCCGCATCGCCTGTAAGATCTGGAACCGCAGCGTATCGGGACACCACACACAGTCACAGGAGGAAGCTATCATCAGGTAACTAACACAAGTTGGTGTAATAGACCTAACACACGCGGTCGCAGCCTGCATGGCAACCATTTTGCTGTCATTTGTGCTGAACACCATCCACAAAGAGTTGAACACACCTGTCCTTTGTGCTGAACACCATCCACACACAGGCGGGAGCCATCATTAGGTAAAGCATACGCATTAACGTAATAGACCTAACGGATAGTCTGTATGCCAGCCTTTTAGTAAGCTCTCTGGTACATGGTGCCGAACACAATTTACACTTAGGAAAAACATACCCGTCCTTGGTGCTGAACACCATCCACATACAAACATACCTCTCATTTGTGCTGAACACATTCCACGCACAGGTAAACACACCTGTCCTTGGTGCTGAACACCATCCACACACAGGCAAACACACCTACCCTTGGTGCTGAACACCATCCACACACAGGCAAACACAGCTGTCCTTGGTGCTGAACACCATCCACACACAGGCAAACACAGCTGTCCTTGGTGCTGAACACCATCCACACACAGGCAAACACAGCTGTCCTTGGTGCTGAACACCATCCACACACAGGCAAACACAGCTGTCCTTGGTGCTGAACGTCAACTTCTTGTTTATGGTACACACACACCTGTCCTTGGTACTGAATGCCATCCACACACAGATAAAACACACGAGCCAGTGTTAAATGGACCTAAAGAGTAGCCTGGATGTCAGCCTTTTAGGTTTAGTGAGCTCTCCAGCACACAAATACCTGTCCTTAGTGCTGAACACCATCCACACACAGGAAGACACACCTCTCCCTGGTGATGAACACCATCCACATACAAACACACCTGTCCTTGGTGCTGAAGGTCATCCACGCACAGGAAAAACATACCTGTCCTTGGTGCTGAACACCAAAGACAAGCCTCACTGGGCAGTCTACTGAGGAAGACCAGAGTGACTGTTCGAAAGTTGTAGGTGAGAGAACTTTTGGTGTTGGATCAAACGTTTTGATTCTAAACATACTCTACTGTTCTTTCTACCTAGATCGAAGCGTCGCGGCGTGCGTCTGCTGATCATCATCCTGATCCTGTTCGTTCTGTGCTGGGGACCGTTCTACGGCTACGCCATCGTGCGGGACTTCTTCCACGACATCCTGTCCAAAACCGAGCTCAACTTCACGCTGCACTTCGTCATGGAGTCTCTCGCCATGTCCAACAGCATGATCAACACCATCGTCTACACTGTCATGAACGACAACGTCCGGAAATACGCCAAGAAACTCGCCAAGGTACGCTAGCCTATACTTCTCATTAGGTTGTTTGAGCATAAGGGTCCCCTATGCTGTGATGTGGACCCCCTATGCTGTCTTTCAACATCAGGATGATTTTTGGTCATGAACGACAACGTGCGAAAGTACGCCAAGAAGCTAGCCAAGGTACACTAGCCTTACCAGGGCACTTCGAACTTGTCACTCCCAGTCCCAAGAACAGACAGCACTTAATAAGCTCCTGTTTTGAAACAATTGACGCTTTCCGACTTGTGTCATCCTTGTCTTGATTTGTCATTCGTTTCCTTTTGGGCTTCAAAATTGTCTTTACTTATGTGCATATCAACCAATAGTTTGTGCTGATAAACCTGCCTATCTCCAAGTCTCTAGCGTCACTGACAGATAGTCTGTAGTATATTAGCCTATGGCTTCTATGTGTTTTGATGAACAAACCTTTCTTTCCCAGGAGCTGAGGGACAAGTGGCGGAACCGGAAGCACCGCAGGGTGGGCGTGAACCCGGTCAACACGGTCAGCACCATTGCCGTCGCCTTCGAGAACGGCGGCCGGTCCAGCCCTCGGGGCCCTCGGCGCGCCGCGCTCTTCGGCCCCGGGGACCCTGGTAGGGTCGTACCGAGGGCTGTCGGCCCGAGGGACGTGCTGGGGCAGGCGGACCGAGGGTTCCAGTACCGGGAGGGCCGGAGGACGGGGCAGGGGCACAGGACTGTCGTCGCGCCGCTGGAGATGCGCACGCACAGCGAGCTGTCGTCGGTGGAGATGGTGTGAGAGATTTCAACTAAAAAACTCTACTTGACAATCGGGGTTTCATCGGGGAGGTGAAGTATAGGATACAGGTGTTTTCTTTTACACAACTTTCTCACCTAGAGTGCTGACCTTTCGGTGTCTATCTCTGACGTAGGTGTCTGATAGACACTGAAACGTCAGCACTCTCGGTGAGAAAACTGTTTGTGTAAAAGAAAACCCCCATTTCCTCCACTTGACCTGCCTTTAAGGTTGTAACGGTAAAATACATCAGATTCTGCAAAGTTACAGAAATGAACTACTGCCCTATTCACACATATCTATATAGTAGTCATGCAGCCCCTCTTGAACTCTGCCACTTGCTACATAATGTAATCCAATACCACAGTCTGTGGGGATGGTGTAAGAAATTTCAACAAAATAAATCCACTAAGGGGCTTGTCTTTTTACAACGGTGAAAGAAATCCCAAGTTAACAAAATGTTTAAGACTATAGACTTGAGACAATAACTATTTCAGAAAAATGTAGATGAGCCGTCACGAGTATTCATTCAACCCTAGATTCTTAGACCCTAGATACTAGAAGGGGAAAATAGCATGATAATAACAATTGCAAAGCAAACGCGTAATACATGATGCATAATGTTTAGCTTCATATGGTCTGGCCTAACAAACTACTGCTTTCAAATTGTTTATTCTTACTCAAACACATTCACATATATATGGTAACCACGCAGCCCCACTTAAATTCTGTTCTGCATGCCACTTGCTACATAATGTAACCCAACAACACAGGGTGTCTGCTACATCACCAGTTACCATGGTGACCACTTGGCTTCTCTTTAAGATTGCAACGGTAAAAAAACATCATAAGTTACGGAAACATTCCAGAGATAGCAGAAAATATTTTAGACTGAAAAGAAGTGAGATGCCACAATTATTCATTCGATTCTTTGAACCTAGATGCTTAAACTCTAGATACTAGCCAGAGGAGAAAACATTACTTCTAACGGACACCTAGTGCAAACTTAAAATACGCAAATTTATGGACAGAACTTAGGTTGAGTCGAATTTGACAAATTATCGTACCCGGAACCGTGCCTATCTGGTTCGATGTCTGAACGGGTTAGGGTTATAGGATCAGACACGGTTCTGGGTACGTGTAAGGTGTATCCGAGAACGTGGATACGTGTGGACTATCCAGAACCGAGCCTTAGAACGGCTTCAGTAGGATTAACCCTGTGCTTGGGTGAATCCAGATTCACGAGTCCTGATGTGAACGGGGTCTACATGTAAGTCAGGCAACTCTTCATCCCTTGGGAGAACTGTTGTCATGTGCAGTAAATCATGATTATGTATGTTTCCCTCCACAGGAAAAAGGGGAATATACTAGGTAACTTTATGTGTGTGTTTTTGCGTGTTTGTGCGCACATGTGTGTGTGTGTGGGGGGGGTGCATGTATGAGTGTATACATGTATATGTGTGTGTGTGTACTGTAGGTGTGTGTGCGCATGTATGTGTGTGTCTGTGTTTTTGTGTAGCTTTTCTCTAACTTTTGGCTCTTCACTTAACTCCTTATAATATCCTTAAGTTTTATCCACCCTTCCACGTTGTTTGTTATGTGTCTATCCTTTATATTATACCGCATCATGTAACATCCATCTATGTGCTGCATTGTGCAAAGGCAAAAAGCAACAAATTAACCAGCCATCACTCTAAAGACAATAAGGGAAAATAATAAACCTATCGATGGAAAATGTGGTAAGTTAGAAAAGTCGCTCTGCAAAATAAAAAACAATGCACTTAACTTACATCGCTTCTGCAACATTGTATACATGTATCTCATTCCAACACTGTTTATAAGGCCACACCAATTTAATTTGTTGGTTCTCGGATTTTTTCAGAAAAAATATGAAGCGACAGGGCGAAAAAAATAAAAATAAAAACAGGTCTAGGCATCCTATTATAGGCTTAAATGCTACAAAATGAGCCATGAAGTCAACACAAAAGGCTGGGTTAAAATTTAAACATTGAATTTTGAACTTTTAATCAAACCACTGCAATGATAGATGGAAAAACTGTAACAACTAGGAAGAAAAGGACATTCCTCAACTGTTGGGGGGCAAAACATGAGCATTTTTCAGTTGATTCAGGACCAGAATCAATTTATTTTTTTTTCAAATCAGAAAAAAACGAAGAGGCGAATCCGAGAACCAACAAATTAAATTGGTGTGGCCTAAGGTTGGAATTGTCTCTTTTGTTTGAGATAGTAATTAAGTTTAGTGTTTTGTGAGTTCTTTCTTGTAGGAGTGTATTGAAACATATTAATATGTTTCTGTTTGGATTAAATGTTACAACAGGAGCTGTAACGGGAAAAAAACAGTGAGCATGGTTGGATGAGAATGTTTAGTACATGTATTATGTTTTCCTTTTTTGTGAGAGGTTATGATATTTTTTAGTGTTCTGTGAGCCCTGAGCTCTTGTTTGGAGTAGAGTCTGTACTGACACTTAAACGTATGTTTCTGGTTCAATGTAATGTTATAACTGGAGCCGTAATAGATGTTTTCATCAGTGAAAAGTGCAAGGGGGAATACAGGTGAAAAATGTGTTGATATTAACATGTCTGCTGTGAACAGGAATTCCAATGTATCCCTCTTGTTTGTGAAGTTGGATTCTAATCTTAGTTTCCAGAATGTTGTAAACTGTGTCATAGTATGCGGATTACTTACGGGAAAATGTAGGCTTGTTTTCGATGAAATAGGGTATACGTATTGACAAAGATACATTGTAGATTTAAGATTTAATGTAGAATAGACTAGAATAGACTAACAAAGTAAGCTTAAAACAAGACTAACCAACTATAACGTTACCAGTGTCAGTATTATTTAGTGTTGACGTTGCATACGAGATTACATGATTGTATAGGGTAAGGAATATAGGCTGTTTCATGGTTTTGACTGCGCATGCACAATGTGATACATTGTAAGACTTGAGAGGTTGAGACATAAACAAAGCAGGCATTGACATTCAATTTGTTAAAGGCATCTAGTGCAGTTTTTAGGGCTCTAGTCACTTATCTACATTGTACATACTGAGTTGAAACAACACTGGCCCAATGTATATTGACCCTCAAGGAGCAAAAATTCCCAAAATTCTGACGGAAAATGGTTACTGCATGTAAGGGCCCTTGGCTAATTTTTAGGGTACCACCCAGAAAACAAAGGACTAATCTTGGGGCTTGTTTCTGCAGCTTTAAAAGCCCAAAGTATGAAATACTGACTCAAGTATGCCAATGTGAAGCAGTGTGTGTAAATATCACAACGATTGTCGTATTCAGAATATTTCCAGTTTTGCTGCTCTGAAATTGCATTGGATGCCTTTAAAAAGCTTCACTTTTGACCTTGCGCATGCGCAATCAATCCATGAACTGGTTTATAGCAAGACAGTTCTCTTGACACTTCGTCAGATTATGGAAACTTGTTGTGCCATATGTGTGAACAACGGTATGGATAGCATTCCACAGAATTATGAGGAAACCATGTGAAAGAGCAGAAAAAAGATGTATGTATTTTTGTGTAAGATATGAAACGGTGAGAAATAGATGCTATTGGTGTGGAATTAAAGTTGTGACTACCGATGTGCTATAGTATACGGAGACTGTGTTTAGAAAAGAAAAATGCTAACTATATTTTTAACCAGAATATTTGTGAAAAGTAAAATGTAACAGGGTGGTTCTTCAATGAAGGAATAAAGAAAGTTTATCTCAGTCTGTGATTTTGTTTCAATGTTTCAATATTCTTGATGAATACTTGATCTCTGTGGCATCTGTGTGGTGTAGTGGATAGAGCATCCGACTGTCAAGCAAGGGAACCCAGGTTCAATCCACAGGGTTGGACCCAGACATTGTGCCTTGGGAAAGGCACTTTACACACATTGCCCCCTCAGTTAGAGGGATCCTGGGCCCTACTAGGGTTTGGGTTGGCGTTAGGAAGGGCATCCAGTTGTTTTAAAAAATCTTGCTTCAAAAAAGACTTGGATAAGAAGAAGAATAGATCCTATTAGTAACACATAACCACTTTGTGACTGTGCTTGTTTTCAAACGTGGGGTCGTGTACATGTGGCGCAGTCGTTTGGCTCACACCCAAGAGGTCGCGGGTTCAAATCCTGCCCATGTCACCGATCTTGTGCCCTTGGGATAGGCAATTTAAACGACTTTCCTCACTTCACTAGTACTCACTTCAGGTGGAAATGAGTTCCTAGCTTCGGTTAGGGACGTCCCTTGGATAGGACGTTAAATGGAGGTCCCGTGTTTGGGAGAGCCACACCCCACGCACGTTAAAGAACCCACCACACTTATCAAAAAGAGTAGGGGGCCTTCCCGGTGTGAGTGGCTCAAACCTTACAGTCCGGTCTTACGCAGCTTGTACAAAACTGGTGTGTTATGCCTAAAGGGTCGTGTGGGGCACAAAACGAAAGCCACTCCTTTCATAATAGTGTGTAGCCCTCTGAACTCCTTTGTCACAGTGTAGCCCTGTCTCCCAAGCCTTCATTTCAAAAAGCAATTTGAAGTCGCCCTATAAAACATACAAACATGCCCCTTGACAAGAAGTCAGTACCTAATGGCACCGGTGGTCTTCTATAACCGTGCTTTACGGTTATATAGTTGCAATTTGTTTCCATTTTGAGTAGATTTTAAGTTCGAGTGAGCCGACCGGTATTACCTTTGAATTGGTCCTATAGGGGGGCAGTGGAAATTGTGGATCAAGTAGGGATATGCTCTGAACATCAAGAGTCGTTATTTCTGTATAATGACACGAGATTGGACCCAGAGATTTTGCCAAATGGGAGGAAAACACATTAGATCACGGGTTTGTAACTTTGGATTCAATTGCCAACAGGCATTTGTATTTATCAAGAAAATGAGATTCTGAACGATAATTCATACGGCTGGTATTTCAATTTCTGACTGTGTATTATGGCAAAAATCAAATCTTAATATAAAATCATCCATATTACAATTCTGCTACACATAATTGATAGATAATGTATTATGAGTTGTTCAATGTAACTGTTATATCAAGAGACCCTGACGTAAAAATTACACTACACGTAAAGTACCATTTATTTAATACGCATATTTCCTGGTTGGACCCTCCAACGCTAAGGAATGCAATTCTGTGACAGCTAATAGCGATTCGTAATTAAATTAATATTGCAGCTTCTTGGCCTACAAAGTACCATACAAATTATATTTTTACTGATAATTAAAATTAGTTACTGCTGTCACACTTGTTGCTATGTACATTTTTGCATTCCTTTATGAATTCACGCTACTTGAATGTGCTCCTTTAGTATAAATTAAGCAAATGTTTTCTTCTTGGTACTTGATGTGGATCTTATTTTATTAATTAGCCTCCTGCAGTATTTGTTTCTACGAGTGGCTAGAGTCGCACTTTCTTTTCAGGTGGAGGGCTAGATATAGCCTATGCTTGTTGGAGAGACATAACTCTCTCCATGGCATAACTTCTGTTGCATGAGCTGAGAACCTTACTTAGCACATGCAAAAAATCGCGTACCAGCGCTCACGAAGACAATAAATGGTGTCGCTCCGAAAATTCCGCAAAGCATGCAAGCTACACATTATCAATGCCTCTCAACAGGTACATGTGTGTATGCAAAAGATGCTAGACTGTATCGACAGGACTCGTGATAGTCCTATGCTACGCATTATATTCGAGGATGAATTGAACTGAACTGAACTGAACACATTATTGAACTGAACGAACTGAACACATTATCGAACTGAACGAACTGAACACATTATCGAACTGAACTGAACACAATCCCAGGCTATGCCACAGCTAGTGTGACTGTGCAATGTCTGAGAAGAACTTTAGGATATCGTCGATAGTAAACTCCAGTGTGATACCAGACTCGGGGTAGCAGCGTCTGATCAGGTCCTCAAAGTGCTTGTACTGACTGATGAACTCCTCCTGCATGGACCGCCACACCACCTGCAGGGCAAAGGTCAACAGTGAAAGGTCATGCATGGACAGGAAAGGTCATACATACATGATTGTACATAATGTGATATGAAAATGTAATTTGAGCAATCTGGGCAAAGGTCAACAGTGAAAGGTCATGGGCATGAGGGCTCATGGCACAGATGACATGAATGCATGTAATAATATTATTGAGTAATCAGTGTAAAATAAAACAATGTAGCTGAAGCCTAAGGCCTCTACTAAGAACAACAAAGGTAATGAACTACACTTAATGTACATGTAATTATGGGAAAAACAAGATAATTGTTCTTACCTGGTTGAGGTTCTCCTCCTCACACAGGTGTTTCTCCACCTTCTTGTACAGACTGTCAAGGCCTTTCTTCACCTGCAAAACATTGGTATGAGATCAATAATTGATTCAAATTAATCAATCTTTTCGTTTTCTGAGTAGAAGTGACTAGACACTCAGGCAAACTGTTTTGTTTTGCAAAAAGCTACTCCAATCTTTGTCATTATGTTTACCGAAGGAAAACATATTGTTTTTGTTCAATCTGTTTCTTCTTCTTCCGTTCCAAACACTGACCCGGTCAGTGACCTGAACCAGACCGTCTGTCACCATATGATGGTAGAAACTGGTATTGGGTTACATAATGTTGCAATTTTATAGTAGGAGGGATTTAGACTCCTGTCACCATTATATGTTCAATGTATGTGAGTTGTATTTGAGTACTAAGAATTAATAGAGCAGACCATACAAAATGTATGTGAAGATAAAAATTTTGCATTTGCTTTGCAAGTTAAAGTTTCTAGTTCTTTTTCTTTCTCCCCTCCTTCCATGTCTTTTTCTCTACCTCTCTCTCTCCATCCCAAATATCTAAAACCCATGCCCCACGTACAGGATTTGATCCATATGGTAGCAGAAATCACTTGAAATTTTCAGCTACATTCCCTACACGTGCAAATCCACTTGACAAGTGGATGTACTTCACGAGTTCAGTATCCTTATACATGCAAGTTTTTCAATAGGGAATTAATAATAGGCCATCAAGAAACGAACGCTTGTTCACTGCACCTCTACCAATCACTCTCCACACCCCTCGTGTACCTAAGAATCATTTACAGACCATTTCACATCTGTAAAGCTTCCTTCTGAAGCCTCATGATTCGGAACGCCAACGGTATAACAGCCCTTCAGCATAACACTCCAGCTTCTGTATCAATTCTGTATAGCAGGTATAACCGCCCTTCAGCATAATTTGATCCATATGGAGGCAGAAATCACTTGAAATTTTCAGCTACATTCTGTACACGTGCGAATCCACTTGACAAGTGGATATACTACACGAGTTCATCAGTATCCTTACATGCAACATTTTCCAATAGGGAATTAATAATAGGCCATCAAGAAGCGAACGCTTGTTCACTGCACCTCTACCAATTACTCTCCACACCCCTCATGTACCTAAGAATCATTTACAGACCATTTCACATCTGTAAAGCTTCCTTCTGAAGCCTCATGATTCGGAACGCCATTAGCCGAAGAGCGTTTGATGACTAACAGGGTGGAAATTATACCTTCTGCACAGCGCGCTGAGTGCATCTTTTATTTATAGAGAACTAAATGAGCATCATTTCGCGTTGGTATCAAAGTGGTGGGTTAATGGAGTGTATTATGTGACAAAGAGCCGGAATGAGTTGGCCGGGGCATGCAGTTTGTTTGTTTGAACCGTTCTTTATTTGCAAGAAACTCAAATCGTCCTGTAGGCTGCATTTTATTGAGGTCATGAGGAAAGAGGTAAGGACAAATAAGCAGGCTTTAAAGGCTGGTGCACCATAAGTTTTGGGTATGTGTGGCAACAGTGCTTCTAAGTCTATAGGTTAGTCTGGAGCCCTTTTTGAGGTCCATTTGTGTGTTTGCAATATGTATAAGTATGTATTATGTATCATCATCATCATCATGTATAAGTTATACCTTGTATAAGTTTTTTTTGACCAATTTGTCTGAATTTCAGTTAGATGAATAGTTGTTGTTGAGGCCCAGATGACAACTTTGATTGATCTGGCCTAAGAACCAGATGTGCACGATTAATTTTACCACGTTCACACTTTCATTTCTACAAGCTCGTTGCCTCTAAGATTCCCCGAAAGATTTCCTCCGAGCCGATTTACATTGCACCTTGCATCTGCTGATGGATGGTCTATAAGAAAAGAGGCAATTTTCTCCTGGTGGCAGCCGTAAGCTTCCATTTTGTCAATGAGATTTGAAGTGCTACAAATACAGGCCTCGAAATTAACTTTTCTTCCTGTTGTCCCAGCAATGTCCCAAAAATAAATTTCAATTGTCATGAAGTGAGGATGACTTAACACACTAGACTAAATTATAGTGTAAGTTACTACTTTATTAATTTATTTGTAGCTCCATGGGGTTCAATATATAGGGCACGGGGAAATTTTTCCCCGTGGACATGCCGAGAGATAATGATTTGATGTTTAAGTACTGTTAAGGGATCGACAACCATTTGGTGACACACTTTACTATGCATCTGTTCCAGTTAGGTTACCACAGCGGAATAAGATAATTTTGGTGTCAGTCCAGAATAACTCAAATCCAAGCTGCAACCATCACAAATGAAGCAACAGCTGTTCAAACATAGAAAAGATAAGAACTATTTGTACCACTTCAAGACTCATTGACAAAACGGAAAATCAAGGCTGCTGCCAGGAGAAAATTGCTACTATAACCAGAATAACTCATAACTATATCCAGAATAACTCAAATCCAAGCTGCCACCATCACAAATGAAACAACAGCTGTTCAAACAAGGGAAAGATAAGAACTATTTGTACCACTTCAAGACTCATTGACAAAACGGAAGCTTAAGGCTGCTGCCAGGAGAAAATTGCCTCTTTTCTTATAGACCATCCGTCAGAAGATGAGAGCGCAACAGAAAATCGTGGAAAAAAAACAGCTGTTCAAACATGGGAAAGATATTAGAACTATTATATAATTATTTTTGTACCACTTCAAATCTCATTCATAAGGAGGAAGCTTAAGGCTGCTGCCAGGAGAAAATTGAAGTGCACTTTTCTTATAGACCATGCATCCATCAGAAGATGTGAGGCACAACGTAAATCGGCCCGGAGGAAATCTTTCTCTGTGCATGAATCTGTATCTGTGCATGAATCTGTATCTGTGCATGAATCTGTATCTGTGCATGAATCTGTATCTGTTCATGAATCTTTATCTGTACATGAATCTGTATCTGATTGCAAATAAAGACCACGAGTCATTGACATAGCTTGAGTAAAATGTCCAAAAACCAAGAAGCAATAAAAGGTACTTGGGTGGCCAACACACCTCAATATGCTGCAGCTCTACTTGCAGTTTGAGTTTGATGGAGTGCCCCATTACTTGGAGTCACCATGGAAAGGTGGTAATGTAATGTTCATATAATGTGAGTTCTGTGACTAAATTAATTTTTTGTACATTGTCAATTTCTTTTGGTGTCAAGTGTTTTTTTTTTACCATGTTATCCATAATTATTATAGTAATTGTGTTTTTATTTTTGTATGCACCAATAAGAACCAATAATAGGTATTAGGGTGGCCTGCACACCTCAATATGCTGCTAGCGCTCTACTCGGATGTAATGTATAAGTTTGATGGAGAGCCCTATCACTTGGAGTCACCAAGGACACACATGATGGAAATATTGCCAAAGTTGGTGATATTACATGTATGTTCTTATAATGTGAGTTCCAAGGATGGGCAGTAGGCCTAAGTAAGTATAAGTATAATGTGAGTTCTGTGACTACATGTTGTATAATAGATTACATGCGTATGTTCCTTTCATTTGTACATTGTGAATTTCTTTTGGTGTCAAATGTTTTTTTTACGATCATGTTACCTATAATTATTGTGTTTTTATTTTTGTATGTACCCAAAAAAACAATAAAAGGTATTAGGGTGGCCTACACACCTCAATATGCTGCTCTACTTGCTTTAGAGTTTGATGGAGTGCCCCATCACACTGAGTCACTATGGACACACATGATGGAAATATTGCCCAAGTTGGTGATATTACATTGTGTGTGTTCTTATAATGTAGAGTTATAATCTAGAGTTCCAAGGATGGGCAGTAGGCCTAAGTAAGTATATTAAGTATAAATGTGAGTTCTGTGACTACATGTTGTATAATAGATTACATGCGTATGTTCCTTTCATTTGTACATTGTCAATTTCTTTTGGTGTCAATTTTTTTTACGATCATGTTTCCTATAGTTATTGTGCTTTTATTTTTGTATGCACCCAAAACAACAATAAAAGGTATTAGGGTGGCCTACACACCTCAATATGCTGTTCTACTTGCTTTAGAGTTTGATGGAGCGCCACATCACCCAGAGTCACTATGGACACACATGATGGAAATATTCTGTGACTACATGACTTTGTTTTATATACAATGTAGATTACATGTGTATGTTCCTTTCATTTGACAGTATTTGTACATTGTCAATTTCTTTTGGTGTCAAGTGTTTAATTTTTTTACGATCATGTTATCTACAGTTATTGTGTTTTTATTTTTGTACCCAAGAACCAGTAAAAGGTATTAGGGTGGCCTGCACACCTCAATATGCTGCTCTACTCGGATATATAAGAGTTTGATGGAGTGCCCCATCACCCTGAGTCACTTATAATGGACACACATGATGGAAATATTGCCAAACCTGGTGATATTACCTCTGACTCAGGCTGTCTCACCGGCACAGTGCTCACATTATGGGAGCATTTCTTGAAAAACTACAGTCTTGATGTACATAACTTTGCACCGTGCTTTTAGTAAAAGCACATAGTACACAGTTATGTAAATCAACTAAAAGCACATAGTACAAAGTTAATATGTATTATTTAATCAAAATTAGTGTTTATTATCATTCAGTAAAAGGCTTTTACTGATAATAAACATTAATTTTGTAATCTCATGCCTGAAAGATACATGTATGTGCAAAGGAACACACAGATATGATAACATTTACTAAAAGATTTTTTAAAATGTCTAGTTATGGGTTCACCACACCACGAAGTGGTGGTGAACCCATATTGCTTTTTCTGATGTTTCTTCTCCTCCTTCTCCTCCTTCTTCTTCTTCTCCTGCCATTTTTTAAATGGATTCAGCTTCTTCATTTTAGGGCCCAAGGTCCTAAAATTTGGTATGGAGGTACAGTGGGCAAATACCCCTAGGCGTTTTTTAAATTATTGTGATACAGGCTTTTAGAATGGTTTTATTTGAGTTTTTTGGCTGTGTTATAGCAAATGTATTACTGTGTTAGTGTGCCTTGTTTACCACGTTTGGGCATGAGTCATCACAATGGAATGCAGGGCATCAACCAATAGGCATGCAGCTTTCCTCTATTCTTCTTGCTGATTGGCTGTTGGGATTTAACTTGATCAACACCTGCACAGAGCATTTCCACCTGCACAGAGCATTTCTTGCTGATTGGCTGTTGGGATTTAACTTGATTAACACCTGCACAGAGCATTTCCATACTGACAGTATGTCTGTATTCAAGTGTTTTGGTAGGTATTTCAAGCTTTCCTGCTCCAGCATTGGAATGCGGGCATGGACGTTTTTTTTTATTTTTGTAAAATCAACAGTTTGCATTATGCAATTAAAAATCCTAACCAATAAAGTAGGGAATAGCTATCCAACTGTTGTTTTAGTTGTATTTTACTTTATATTATAGTTATATCAATGTAAATCATTGTTTTCCCTTGTGTTTCTCATTCTTTCCCTGCCATGTCATAAAATGTGGTGAACCCATCGCTGTATTTGCTCCAAAGCAAATATTGGCCTTTCTAGTTTATAGATCTATTTACACTGTAGAGCATACTGGAGGTTTGACATCTTTGGAGGCAGTGGTTATAATGAATATAGTCTGAGACTGTTTTTAGTGAAAAGTGGGGTTTGTGATCTTAGTAGAAAATGTAGTTTTTCAGAGGTCCTCTATACATGTATAGTGAAAGCTTGTGGTTACTGTTTCAAAATGCCTGTTTCTTCCAATGATACAGAATGTTCTTGGCTACAGAATGTCCACACTACAACTGACAAAATCTGTTTTAAACTCTGTGCACTTTCTTGCCCATCATGAGTTTTAATGTTGTACACTATAAAATTTAATGTGCAGCTTACACCTACAGTCATCAATGGGACATCCCAGTAGACAGTTAGTCTTTGCAAACCTGCCTGAAGGATATATTGAACGTACATGTGATGTTGATAGCCTTTTGTAGGGGTAAATCAAGTAACAGCCATAATATACAAGTAGGATGTGTTTGGTTTAAATACCCTGAATTGTAATGCCCTGAACTTTTCCAAACCTGTGGATTGGGAATTTTGTCATTTTTCCTAATTACATTTTACAACCCTGCAATACCTTATTCCCAACCCTCTGAGGCCATGTTAATTACAACCATTCATTTGCAGAAGAAAAGATGACAGATGATAAGATTTCCAAAGCCAAGGTCCCAAATTCAGGTTCAAAGCTGACAAATTGGCATAACAAGTCGTGGGACTAACAAAATGTGATTGATTCTCGCAATTAGGGTGCCTCTGGATCGCTGCTATGATTTAGTCTGTCATTTGAGAGTGATAAAAATGTGCCTTTGATGGCATCATGGACTATTGACGGTTCACACTGAGTCAAATGAGCCATGAAGAGAACTGATTTGCTTATGGAGAAAGTTGTGAAGCCATGGTAAGGTGTTACCTGCCCTTGACCTGAAGAGGCTCACTAAAGGTAAGGTGTGCCAAAAAGCTCCTCAGGTCTGTTGTAACAGCCCCTCCAACTGTCCTGCCACTTGCTACATACATGGCCCACATCATATTACTTATTAGGAGACAATCCAACATGCAGAGTGTCTGCTACAGCACCAGTTACCATGGTAACAGATGTCTGGTCCTGGTCATTGACTTTTTTGTTTGGAGAATAAGACTAAGAGGAAAAAGAACAGAGAAAATATATTTTCCTAAACATTCATATATATGAAGACCAGCCTCTCCTACACTTGCTACATAATGTAATTCAACACCACAGGGTGTCTGCTACAGCACCAGTTAGCTGTCAAGTCATTTACCTAATAATTATTGGTAAGCATAATTACCTCTTTCATGGGGTACTCCTTGATGACTTTCCTGAGCTCCTGTTTGCTGAAGGCCAACTGGTACCCGACTTCCTCTGCCTTCACTCCCTGGGCTACACGGGCCTCGATACCCTCAAAAAAGTGCTGCACAAACAAGAAGTCAGAGCATTTCAACAACAGTAATGATGTACAAATCTGTATAATCTGTACATCTGGTACCCGACTTCTTCTGCCTTCACTCCCTGGGCTACACGTGCCTCGATACCCTCAAAAAAGTGCTGCACAAACAAGAAGAGCATTTCAACAACAGTAATGATGTACAAATCTGTATAATCTGTACATCTGGTACCCGACTTCTTCTGCCTTCACTCCCTGGGCAACACGTGCCTCAATACCCTCAAAAAAGTGCTGCACAAACAACATGAGTCAGAGCATTACAGCTATGGTAATGATGACTATTGTACAAAATTATCAGATGTACAATGTCGCGCAATTCAGTATGGTCCTGTGTGGCACTGTGCATTGGGGGAATACAAACAATTTGATTGT